CCGTCTCAATGGCTTCGGACGGTTGGTGAGACCACCATTCTTCAGTTTTGGTGATGTTGTCAGTGAGGACCTTCCTCTTGGGTTCTGACAGTGGGAGATCTTTGAGCCATTTGTTGAAGGCCCGTACTGCAAGAGTTGGTGGCATATGTTGAGCTAGCCACGGGTTAAGTGTGGTAGTGCCGACCAACAAGGAAGAGGGATCAAAACCCGGTGGCAGGAGGTGCCGGGTTGTTTGAGTTCCTCAGGAGAGCTTGTTGAATGGGTGTTGACGCAGGGCTGGAAGCTGAAGGGCCCGTTGTGGCTGGTGTGGAGGGTTCGCCCGTGTCTTCTCCCATTCTTTGACGTAGTTGCGCCAATTGGCTTCGGAGTTGGGTGAGCTCATGTTGGGTCTCTGGATCGGCTGTGCGGGTCGGAACCCAGCTGTGGATCAGATCAGCTATCTGTTGCGCTGCATACTTGGTGTTGTTGGTCTTGTCCAAGAGTTTTCCGTCTTGCCGAGCCCGGCTGTGAGAGACCTTGTCCAGGTCGACTCCCTTGTATCTGAGCTGCGTCAAGAGTTCTGTCATAAAAACAACTGCTGCGATGTCTCCAGTAGGGATCAGGTAGAGTTCACGACCATGAGCCAGCTTGCGAAGCCAAAAGTTGTTGGCTTGCTGATACAGCAAGGCTGCCACAGGTAGCTGCAAAGGATCACACCCTTCGATGTCCAGCTTTTGTGTGAAAGCTGATTGACGAATGCTTCGTGGGAAAGTCAAGCCGTTGATCTTCTGGTTGTCATAGTGGTCTTTGTTCTCTTGCGAATGAGGATTGAGATCAAAGCCATAGGTGCGGGTGGCTTCCAGTTTTGCTTGGCCTCCTGGTGAGGTCGTTTGTGGAGTGTCGAATGGACGAGGTTGAGATGATGGGACGGATGGAGTGCTCGGTGGACATGGTTGTGTTTGTGGACAGGGTAATATGGGTGAGCAAGGTGGAGTGACTTGGCGAGGAGGGACTGGATATGCAAGAGTTGGTGGATGTGATGACGGAGGTTCCGGTGACCTCTGACTGGGCCATGTGCACGGAAGCATAGGTGGATTTGGGTGCATTGATCTGTTCGGCATGTAGGGTCCCGACTGGTTCATGGTCCACTGAGGTCGAAACTGAGGGCGTGACATTTGCTGTGAGTGCCAGACAGCCGCTTGCATAGGTCCACACCAGGGAGGAAAGAAGGGTAGTTCTTGTCGTACTGGCTGAGCTGGTCCACGAGGCTCAGAGCGGTCTCGTCCCGGCATGGGAGATCGGGATCTATCCGAATCTGCCATTGAGAAGTTCAACTCAAAATCTCTAGTAGCTATGAGAGAAGTGTCAAAACTGCAGGTGGTATACACAAGACACTTCACGATTTGTGGTCAAATGATTGAAATGGAATAGAAAAACCAAGCAAAGGAAATCACCATTGATGAATCCAAAAAGGAAGAGTGAGACTACTTCGATTAACGTGCAACGGCAGCATGACAATGCAGAGAGTGCAGTTTGATACCTGAAACGACACGAAACTGAGGTCAACACATGTTCAAATCAGATTGAGGCAACCGTACTTTTTGATCAAAAGCGTGTCCAGGTTTCCCTAGAAATGTCAACTCCGGTTTCCGGGTGATGCCGAAAAGAGCTAATAATACATGACGACAACTGGTCAGCAATGGGGTCGTGCTGTCAACGGCGACCTGAGTATCGTTCCTCAGTGGTGCGATAATTTAAGTCTTCTGAGGATGAGTCGCCAACGTTGATCTTGTTGGTCAAATTTTGCCACTTCAGGGCAACGAACTTCAGTCCCATGTGATTGCTGTGGGCAATCGTGTACTTCTCTGACGTGGTGACTATTCCTTTCTCGGCTACAGCGAGCTGCGCCATGTCGTTGCCATCAGCCTTGTATGCAGTGTGGACATTTGCACCTCGATACATCGCCCCAAAGACGATGTCTTGCTGTCCTTTCCCTTTCTTCTGGATGGTGTCGAGAAGCTCTCTTGCCGCCCACTCTGGGATGGTCTTGTCACTGTTGGATACTTCTCTGCCAAGGTAAAAGGCCCCGAAGGTTGGCATGTCGCACCGTTGAAGGTTTTTGCGGTAAGACCAGTTGGCTGGTCTGATCTTGCCCTCGAGGAGGATGAGCTGGGAGATAACATCCGAGGGAATGCGGCTGTCAACTTTCTTCAAAGTTTCGCAGGCTTGTTCATAGGCCTGGTGATCCATTGTTTGCGACGGTTGAGGTCTGTCGCCTGGCGCGATTTCATTGGCTGCTTTCATCCGGTCAGGATGATTTAAGGCATACTTGATGCCTCTGAACCACTCTTCTTTGGAACCTTCTTGAAGGTTGATGGCAATGTGTCCTGGAGGGACATTGACAGGAGAATGGGATTGATCAGAACCCGGTGTGTTTGGTGGTTTCTTCTTCTGGCGATGAGATGTGGTGTGGTCGGAGGAGAATGCTGTGAGTGGCTTGGTGGAGGAGTCATGAGGATCGTTGTAGCTGGCTGATGGTTTGGAGTAGTCAATCCATTTGGATGGATTGGGTGGGTTTGAGGAGTTGGAATAGTCCTTCCATTGTCCCCAGGATTGCCACTTGTTGGTGGACGATTGGTCGTAGTGGTAAGAATGTGATTGAGTGTTTGTGTTGTGTGAAGACTGTTGTGGGTGGTATTCCCACGATGCAGGTTGAAGAGTAGCTGGTGGATGGGTTTGGTCGCGTGGTGGTTGATGATCTTGTACATGATGTCGTTCTTCTCGACGTTGTGGAGAGGCTGAGCGTAGGGTGATGGATGTGGCTCTGCTTGGCTGACGTGAAGCATGCCTGGAGGTGGAAAATTCTCTGTAGGAGGATCGAGGTCGTGAGGAGCGACGGAATCTTCTTGTGGATCTTCGACGACGAGGGCTCCGAGGAATGGAGACTGGACGTTTGTCATGTCTCCTTGACGTGGATCGGTGGCGTTTGGACCGGGATCGTCGTGGGGATCGGTGGCTGGATATTGGATATTCACCAAGTGGATGGAATTGACTGATGTTGTGTGGATAGGTTGGAGTGGTTGGATGTGATGGTGCCTGAGGTTGGTTGGCATTGCGCTCTTGAGTCTTATCCACGAAAGCTTGGATGCTGGATTCGACTGTGTGCTTCATCTGTTGCATCATCTCTTCAGGATTGAAGGATGGAGTGGGTCCAGCTTGAGTGGTTTGAGGTGCCACTGGTGTAGGTGGATCTGGCGCTTGAGGCCCTGATGGTTGTGGATTCGGTGGAGTGGATGTGGCGTGGCATGAGCCTTTGTTGGAAGGGGATGAGTTGCTGGAGATGTTGGATATGAGATTGAGCTTGTGAAGTGAGCTGTTGATTGAGAATAGCATTTTGCTCCCTAAGAGCAGCAATCTGAGCCTGAGTCTGAGCTTGTGACTGCTGATTCATCATGTCACCTCCACAGGATTGACCTTGAAGTCCCATCGTTTGCGGATTCCAGCCAAAGTTCCACATCGTGTCAGGGACGTTGGGAAACCGTCCAGGAAATATGGCAGCACTGTCAGGTTGCTTTGATTAAAACCTAGTTCAAAAAATATATATGCATCCACAATCCATGCAAGAGTCGTGATAAGGCTCCAAGGCCCTATTCATGTCGAAACCCTCTGGACGGCTGACGTGTTCAACCCTTGAATTACGTGCACAATTGAACCTCACCAACGACCATAAAAGAAAGAATCACCGCACCTGCAAGAATGTCCTGATGCCTCCGTATGGTCATATGTCATGTTCAAATTGTCGAGCACCGTGCTCACTTGGGCAGTATTGAAAAAACGATTGTTATCGCGGCTTTCAGCAGGCTACTCAAGGGATGCAGTCATTCAGAAAAGGTGGTTCCCAGGCACAGCGGGCGGCTGTTCAACACACCGTTGGTGACCGACAGTGAAACCTGAAAGGTGAAAAACTGTTTCACTTTACTTAGATGAATTACCAATTCAAAAGTGTAAATTCAGAGATCGTTTCAAAGTGTCAAATTTTAGCCTAGAAAGGCTTTCCCCGAAGGGTTCATGCCACCTTGACGAATCCAGCATGAATCACACACTTGCTCAGAAACATCTTATCGAATTGGATGTCTTTCTTTGTCCTTGCTCAAAGGACCAACTGGTTCTGATGCAGCTCAGTTAGATTGCGAGAACCGTACAGGCAAAGAGGGAAAACAAAATTGTTTGAAATCAACATGCCGGTTCTGGGCTTAGCCGGTAGCCATTGACGAGAAAATTGAAATGGTGTTGCAGGTACGTCACCAGGCGTCCTTGGTGATATCCTAGGATCATATGAGGAGCTTCGTTGGATGGAGCCTCATATGTCCTCTCCATCCCCCTGCTGAAAATCAGGTTGAAAAACCAAACTAAGATTAGAATCTTTGACGAAAACGAGCAAAACACAAGTTAGAAGTTTTACATCTCTTCAGATGTTCCACACACACACACACAACGCTCGTGGAGTTCCCTCCGGCAAAGCATGGTTTGCTGAACTTATCCATTTTTCAGGCTTGAACGTTAACGCCGCGATTTCAGCGCGCAATCTCGCATGAAACCACAAACGGCATTGCAACGCAAAGTGTGTTTGGTCTGATGTAAGGAATGAACATGTTTGTGCGAATTAATGAAAATTGACGCATATTGTTGGTGTTCGATGTTTGGGCCAAAAAAACATGCATACGACCAAGAGCACTGCCATGCGCACAATGCGCGCCCGATGGGCATCTCCTTCATGCCATTCACCGCACCCAATGCACGGAACACATTCAGCGCGGTCAACACAGTCAACGCAATCAGCGTAGTCAACGCTCAATGCCTTCACCTCACCCTGCGCACTCGAAGTCACCGCACATTGAACAACAAATGGACGAATTCCCATTGTGCAGTACAACGCGCATGTTTTCATTTCTTTTAACAATTGTGTCATGATGTTTGTTTTAGTTTGTTTGTTAAACAAATTGTTTTTGCTGCTTTCATGGAAGGTTCAAAACAGAGGGGCAGGTTCAATTTAGAAAATAACAGATCGCCATGGGGCACGGAGGCAACAATGTCATTCCCAATGTGCACTTCCGAAAGGTCAATGGTTGCCAGTCCGGTCGCAACAACCGGGTTTTCATGCGAACCTGGTTGAACCAGGCTGGCCGCAAGAAGCGTCGAGCAAACACTCGCAAAGAAAAGGCAGCCAAGATCTTTCCTCGTCCATCTGCTGGATTGCTTCGTCCATTGGTGCACCCTCCAACACAACGCTACAACATGAAGGTGCGATTGGGCAAAGGTTTCACTTTGGATGAGTTGAAAGAAGCAAACATCCCCAGGAAATTTGCCAAGACCATTGGCATCGCAGTGGACCATCGCCGACGCAACCGATGTACCGAGAGTCTCCAGGCCAATGTGGAACGATTGAAACTTTACATGTCCAAGTTGCTGCTGTTCCCCAAGAAGTCTGGCGCAAAGGGCGTGAAAAAGGGTGACACCCCTCGTTCGGAGCTGCAGAATGTGGCGCAGAACACCTTGAAGGAGATTATTCCAGTGCCAAAACCACAGAAGCGCATCAAGGCGCGAGCCATCACAGAAGAGGAGAAGTCTGAATCCGCTTACAAGAAACTGAAGAAGGCACGAACAGCAGCGCACTACCAAGGCGAAAGGATCAAGAAGGCCAAGGAGGCTGCAGCCAAGGCCGACAGCTGAGAGGCTAAGTTGGAAAGATGAACCATTTGTCCCTGCTGACCAAAAAGGTGTGGCCTGCAGAGGTCCTAATTGCAAATGCAAACTTTTGCACTATCATTGATATGTAAGACTGTGTAGATGACATGCCAAGGTTTTCTGAATTGTTGAGAATTCGTTAATGGTTAGTTGGTTGGTTGCAAGTTTGCTGGCATGCTCTTAATGGTCAACGGTTGGCTCTATTTTGGCTCTCGCAGCTGCCAAGAATATAGTGTCTTGTGGTGCATCCAACAGTTTCCTGCACCAATGGTACGGACCTGAATTTTGAATATCCAGATTGATTGCAAAGGTGCAACGTATATCATTGTTTCTTTTTTGGCCAGATGTTGTACAGATTTGTCCATGTTTTTTGGGGGCGACGTGCCCTCATGACCAAGGCGGGAACAGGGGCTGGCTACGACTTGTCAGTGACCACCTTCTCACCTGACGGCCGAGTCTTTCAGGTGCTGTGCTTGTGGCTTTTGCAGTTTCGCTGATCAGTTTTTTCTGGGTGATCCGTGCTTTTGATTTTAACATTTGTGAAGGTAGCAACATGGTAGTGGTAGGCTTGACTCAAAAAAGGTTGGGATACGAGAACTTGCTATCGATAAGTTTTCGAAATTCATCCAAACAAAAAAACTGAGAAATTGAATGATACATGTGGGTGTCATTGCCAAGTGCTTGAAGCTCATTCTGCATTGTTTTGAGGTCGAGTATGCTGGAAAAGCAGTTGAAAACAGCGGCACAACCTTGGCAATTTGCTGCAAGGCCCATTTCCTGGAAGTCGGTAGGGCTTTGCAGCAACATCTGTTGTAGGATCGTTACAGGATTTGTGATTTGCAACCTGTGTTGCTGTCAAATGGTATGCCAAGATTAATAGCCGGAAGGGATAGGGGGAGTCAGCCCACTGCCTTTTGGATTGCCTGCCATTTGTCAGGATGGTGTAGTCTTCGCAGCTGAGAAATTCTTGTCACTTTCTCATTTCTGTTGCCATTCATTGCAGAAATTGTGTTGAAAGGAACATTGCAGACACATTGAGAGACCTTTCGAAAGCAGATTGTGGGTTACTGCCATGCACACCATGCACCAGCTTTCGTGAGAAGAATCACCTAGAAAACCAAGGCTGTCAAAGATGTTGGTTCATGGCACTGCCAAGCGAATATTCCCGGTGCTGCACCTGGTGGTTCCTAATTTCATGCATTCGAACCTTGCATGCAAATGTTTTGAACCTAAAACAAATTGTTTTCAGGTTGTCGCTTCAAGGTTCCGATCGCAAATCAACAGATTGCTGTCAAGTGTGATGCATCGAAACAGTTGTTGAGGTTCACAGGCGTGCTGGCATGTCCATCGCTGGCATGGTGGCTGACGCTAGGCAAATTGTCAGTCGGGATCCCTTGCCCGCCGTCCGAAGACTTTGAACATCTGGATATATCGATGGAGTGTATCATTTAGCGTCAACATGTTGCCGGAGGGGTCTTTTGTTTTTATCTGGATGATTTTACCCAGCATTGTTTGAATGGTTGAGACTCAGGTTGAGATATGTTGAGATTGTGTGGAAGTGTTTCGAAGGTTGTTTTCATAATTCTGGCATCGCATGCAGCTTCCATGAGGCCGTGCACGCTCAGAAGCCACGTGGGATTCCGAGCTGTACTGCCAGTGTGTCAACTTCTACCTGGAAGCCAGACCTTGTCAAGATGTATCGACTTAAGCCATTCTTAAGCCAAACGAGAGCAGTCCAGTTTCCTGTTGATGATGGTACGGCATAGAATTGTCTTGCATGATGGAATTTGGCTCTTGCTATTGCTGATGCTTAACGTTGAAGCCTTTGCATCCTTAGGCAATTCATGAACGCGTGCGCCGACAGGTCACAGGTAGACAGGTTTGAACAGGCTGGGACAGGCGCCTCATCAATACCTTGGCTTTTCAGCGAGTCTTGGTCGGATGCAACTGATCACAACAGTTCTACGATGCCGAAAGGTGAGCCCCACACCTTGCCCCCAGGTATTGTGAGGAAATCCCACCAGAGCTTCTTGCTGAACGTGGCAAGCTCAGCATCCACCTTGAACAGTCCCACACCATCAGCAGGTTTCCACGACTCTCCTACGATATGGATCGAGGTGGTTGACACATACGGTGTCTCAGGGCAGAAGTGTCAACTAGTAGTTTCAGGTGCTTCAGAAGTTTATTTACTGTTTGCTTCAGATCAGTTGTTTAGGACTAGAACAGAACAGGTCGAGTGGCTTGGGAAACAACTTGGATTGCAGTGAGTGGGTTGCCGTGAAGAAACTGTCCACACACCCTGCAAGACTTGCTCCTCTCAGACTCTACATCACGACCCTTGGTGCAAGAACTGATTGAACGTTCCGTAAAGCAACATCCGTAAAAATCAACAGAGAATGCAAGGAAGACTCCTTGAAGGGACAACCCCGGGCGTCGTCAAAATCTGTTTTCTGAGTCTGAGGCCTCGGGCTTTTCATGCATGCCTATACTCTGTGCACTTGCCAGTTGCAACACCTAGGCAAAGTTGTGTCCATGTTTTCGCGCGGGCAGTGTCTTGACACTCATTGGTCAAAATTATTGTGTTGTTTCATTCCTTCCCCGGCGTTATAGATGTTGATCGATTCTCACATGCCGTCAGAAGACGTCAGAAGGGACAGAGGAGCTCACGCTCCAGGTACTGGTCAGTACGTCCATTTGGCTGTACTGCTTTGCTCGGATGTGTGGATGAGGAGTTCACAAGAGCTTTGATATGTACTCGTTGCACGTTGCACGACATGATCCAATTTGATGTTGACGAGCTCCTTTGAATCATATTTTTATATATTTTTGCTAGCAGAAGTTTTGCCTGCGGGGTTTGCAGTTCTTTGCAGTTCTCGAATTAGGAGACGAAGAAGCCTAGCCTCTTTTGCATTGAGCCAAATGGCATGGTCTACAAGTGCCACGACCGCATCCACTGTGCTGAAATGTCACCAAAACATTTGGAAGCGTTCAAAACATGGAGGTACACTGCCACAGCTGAGGGCAAGGGCTGAACTGGCTTCACTTAAAGATAATGTGTCAGTTCAAGTGGCTTGAGTGCATTCTGGACAACCATTTTCCTAGGCAAGAAAACGCATGCTGGGTTCAACCTACCGATTGCAGAGAATGGTGGATCGACAAATGTGAAAGATACCACACTTGAAAGCCTTGTCGAATCGGCCTAGCCAGGAAAACAGGCAGCCAAAACCGAAATTGAGAAGGTGTTGGCGTGCTCCTGCCATGTCCTGTCCGTCTTTCACTAGATTTTCATCACGTTGATGTGAAAGCATTGCATCACTTGACAGGAACAACCCAGAGCTCACGTGCGAGCAGGCGTTGATGCTGGCAGCGTCCTTAGAGAAGTTGATGTTAACAGCTTATGGTCGTGGAGCATTGTGGAACATCGTGGAACTCTGGAAGGTTTCAAAACCTGAAATGCGCCTATGGCAGCTGACTTGTGCCGATTGCTCTCTTGATTAGGTTGCCAAGATCATCCACAAGGCAATTATGTTTTCTGCTGCCTGGTGTGATTTTATGCACCTGAACTTGGTGGTCCTCAAAGGCTGGTCAAAATTTGATCATCTTTGATTATCGTGGGGAGGTGCATGACGAGAAAGACAAAGACTTTGAGCTTGAGATCTCCTGGATTTGCCCTGCATCGAATTACGAGGCGCGGATTGCCATGAGTTTAGCAATATCTGATTTCAATTGGACCAAGTGGACGAGCCTTACGCGCCTTTGGTTAGAATTTGGATAAACTGTATGTGCTTCTGGTACCTCGAAATAACAGGTCGGAAGATGTCAGTTGAGTTTCAACGCACTGCACCCTGCGCCAGCACGCCCAAGTGCCGGTGGAGCAAAGGAAGGCTGCGGAAGCAGAGGCCGAACGTATCTTGGAAGCCGAACAAGAGGCTCGGGCACTGGCCGGGCATTGAGCGGGACCGGGGCGTGGAGTCATCGTGTTTGGGTGCCATGTCCATCGACTCGATAAACCTAACTGTACCGTAGGGAAAACACACACACACACAAACACACTGGAGACACTCATTTTTGATCAATTTTGATCTACCTATTTTCGCGAGTTTGTCTTATGAATGCTTGACTGGTCTCATATTTGTGGTGATCTTGCAAAGAAATGCTGCCTTCACTCGGAAACTCTGGAGCGCGCCTGCAGGATGACTGAGCGGTGGGAAAGTAAGAGAAGCTCAACAAACAGTGATACTACTTCCCTTGTGCAGAGTTTCAACATGTTTCTAACAACTCTGTAAAGACTATAATGACTTCCAAATGCAACCAATGTCTTTTTCGAAGACCATATATAGTGAGCTTCGAGGATGCACAGCATGTCCAGAAAACTGCAGTGCGCGGAAAGAACAGGCAACTGGATAGGAGAGACGCTGCTGCAAAAACAATGTGAGGCGTGTGAGCGACATGAGCGTTGTGAGCATTGGAAACAGTATGGTAGATAAGGTGAGCTCGCAGGCCACATGGGGCAAACCCCTGCTGATCATAGCCGCGAACTCTTGGCAAAGGATCCACGGCCAATAGATTCCAATATATTCCAATAGAATTTACATTGGAATCATTGGAAGAGTGTTTTCGACAACATCCTGGGACTATGTTTGACGATGTTTGACGTCAAGGCCTGGCACATAACTCTGCAGCTTTGGCTCTGCGACCGTCACATCAGGGTGCATTTTTGCTTCGCAGCCGAACACCGGCAGGTGCAACGGGGGTCAGATTCTCTCCGCATTTGACAGGAACGACAGCAGGTTTTGCAAGCTTCGAGATTAGAACCAACAAGAGAAACCTAGGACCTAGGACTTTTGGGTAGAGACTAGAGACCATCTAATAGCTCTAACTAGCTTACACTGTTCAGACCATCCAACAGCTCCAGCTGAACAATAGCTTCACCCCATACATTCTGTAACCTTGCTAGCCAGTAGAGTTGCTCATAGAGTAGACAAGGAACGAGTCGTTGGCACGCGAAACTTGTATGCTTGCCACTTCTCATGGTGCACCCTTTCAGTGCGTTTTAGTGGCATCAAACTAGATCTACCTGCGAGGCCCTGACAGTGATGGCGGGTCAGGCTGGGAGTTGTTCTCATTTCATAAAAATTGCGATGCTTCAAAAGCAATACTCGCAGGACATAATTTGACCACCAGATGGCACCTGTCCTCTCCAGGTTCTGCTCGCCATTTTCTTCTCCTTGTGCCTGTCTGCTTCAGGCCGAAACAGTCGACATGTCAAGTCACATGTCACATGTAGAGAGGCCCAGTTGGCCGAGTCAGAGCCTGTTTTGCTAAGGCCAAGCTGCAGTGACTCGGCGACGTTTTTGGATGTGATATGTGAAGGAAACATGGGGAACCCAGCCTAACAGGACTTAACACCTAGAATGAAAAGAGTAGCTTTGCGAAGTGCCCACATATGCACATTAATACAATTTTAATATACTCATCTAAGATCATCTCATGTTTTGGAGCCCTGAGCACTGTAGCTGTGTGTCTCCAAACCAACGAACCCTCGACCTGTGATTTTACCGACCTTTGAACCTTGGAAGTTTTTGGAAGCTTGCAATCGTGGAACCCAGAACTGTCGAAAACTTGAAACAGATTAAAACGTTGGGTCGCAATCGTGCATTGATGTTTCCGAAGCAAAGACGCTCGAAATCCAAAGCAAATCTGAGGTAGGAACTTATGTGACTGCAGATGACATCCGGATGGCCAACGATGCGGCATTGAAAGCCGAAGCTGTACTTTAGCTCTTATATGTTCACATCAGGGAGGCTGGCAATGAAATGCTCCCAAAATGCTGCCAATACTGGACTTACACATTTGGGACGCTCAGAGTTCGGACAACAATGAGGCAGGTTGATTACTGTGCCCGTCAGGGAAGTGCGTGTTGATGTGCTTTTGAATCTCTTCCATCGAAGCATCACACGTTTTCAAAAATAGGAAGAGATCAGGGGGATGCTTCATCATTAACATCACACGAATTCTGTCCCACTGACCTCGTTGTGGGACACGACACTCCCAAGGCCTGTGTGAGCGGGTCATCAATGACCATAGATGTGACCTGAGCAGCAAGCAGCATGGTTTAGGAAGTGTGGTGAGTGCGGTGGGTCAATGGGTCTTTTGCGGCTCCGCATTCCGGTAGAAATACTACAAACAGCGTGGCCAAGCGAAGCACTGCAAAAAATCTGGAGAAAGGAATAGATATAGAAAGAATGCTAGAAAGGATGCAAAATATGCAAAAGGAATCAAATATGCTCCTCTGTATTTCCAAAATTTAATCCTGCAGGTTCACTACAAATAAATAAGTAAATAATGAATCAATAAGAAAGTAAGTACGCAAATAAATAAATAAATATATATATAATAGTATCACTATATAATATAATGTAATATATGATATAATACATAACATGATATATTATATAGTAGTATATATAATATTAAGTATAATATAATATAATACAGTATAATATAAAGTAACATATAATATAATAAATATATAATATAAAATATGATGAGATACATTATAATATAAAATATAATATATAATATATAATATATAATATATAATATATAATATATAATGTATAATGTATAATGTATAATGTATAATGTATAATATATAATATATAATATATAATATATAATATATAATATATGATATATAATATATGATATATATAATATTATATATAATATATAATATATAATATATTAATATATTAATATATAATATATAATATACAATATATAATATATAATATATAATATATAATATATAATATATAACATATAACATATAATATATAATATAATATAACATGATATACTATTTGTTATAATATATAATCTATAACAAATAATATATGATATATATAATGTATAATATACAATATAAAATATAATATATACTATATGATATATAATATATAATATGTTGAAAAAAATACCCTGCATAGTTGCCAACACCATCCAATGGGATGTGTACTTTTGGCTCAAGATCATGCAGCAAAAGGCTCTGGGTTTGTAGCTCATAATCTGTGAAAGTGGTAGCGGAGCTACATCTCCGGTGTAGGGTAGCTTTGGGGACGCCCTGCAGACTGCTAGCGTGGGAAGGCAGGTGTTCACGGGGCGACCAGTGTCCCTTTTCTCACGAACCTGGAGGTATCCGAGTCCTTACTCGACTCCATTGCCGCTTCTACTTACACGGCAAATGCAAGTACGGGGATCAGTGCTGGTATCATCACAATGAGGCAGAAAAGGAGATGGTAAGGATGGAGAAGCAAGCCCGTGGACTTCTAAAACGAGCCGACGACGTCCTACCCAGTGCAGATGACGAACACCAAGGCACCAGCCCAAAGACAAAAACCGCCAAACCGGAGACCGACGACGAGTTTGAGGATGTTGAAATTGAAGAGACACCCGATGACGACAGGCAGGTGCCGCACTACGAAACGAATGCAGAGGCGCCAGCAGAAGTTCCTGAAACTCTCGAACGTAGACAAATAGTAACCACTGAAGTGAAAGGCCTCCGCGAGTTTGAGAACCGACGCGAGGAGGACATGTGTCACAATGCTCCATGGCGAAGTCGTGGCAAAGGTCACGGCTATTCGAGCAGCAGCAAGGGAAAGGGGGAACGGGAAAGAGCCGGGAAGGAGAGAGAAGATCGGGAACGGGATTTGCTCTCGTTTGGTTCGAATGTGAGTGACCCAGAAATCCACGGTCTGTATAAACATGTTGTAGTTAATTTCGACACTGGTGCCGCCGTTTCCACTGTTGGGGGGGGAACCCCACAACACCCGATACAAGACAGCCTCAGGTGAACTTTTGGAAGATCACGGACAAGTTCGACTTTATGGCAGTGACCAGAACTACACCGACAAGACCATGAATGCCAGAGTTCACCGCATCTTTGCAAGTGGAAGCGAGGTCTGAAAGAAGAACATGGTCGTTTTGGACTCTGAAGGAGGACAAATCATCCCAGGAAACAGTAATGCAGCGAAGAGGATCCACAGGTTTGTCAACCAAGTGTTGAGAGAGGAAGAATGCAAATCTACAAAGATGCGAATTGAGAAAGGTGTCTACGTGTTTGATTATTGGGTCGATCAAAAGACGACTGGAGAGAAGGCATCCGCAAGTTCGGGAAACTGACGGCATGCTACGCTGTAAGTCCGTTGGGCGAAGAGATGGAAGGTGGAGAAGCTGGGCCCCCTGCCGATTCGGCAGAGGATCTGGCGGAATCCACAGAAGCACAAGGACAGAGGGTTCCGAGAAACATTGCAGCTCCTACAGCGCAAGAATTAGAGGAACACCAGGCAACAGCTCATGCTGTGCACAGGTCATGGTGTGGACATTGCATGAGGGTGAGGGCTATATACGCCCGGCAGTCAACAGTTTCACGAGACGAAGAAAGTGAAATACCGATCATCTCAGTAGACTACTTTTTCTACGGTGACAAGGAAGGAGAAAGCTCAAACATCCAGGTGAAGGACAACAGAACCAAGATGACGTGGGCAACCACGATCCCGAGTAAAGGCATCGACCTGTTCACAACCAACTTCATGTTGGCGTGTTTGAATGAAACAGGATACAGGAAATTGATCCTGAAATGCGACAATGACGCAGGGATCATTGCGCTGAAGAATGAGGTCAAGGCGCAGGCAAAGGGGATAGAGATCATCCTCCAAGAAGCTCCTACGGCAGATCATTCGGCCAATGGATCGGTCGAAGTCGCCGTCCGGGATGAAAAGAGGCAAGCCAGAGCTCTTTTGAGCGAGCTGGAAGAAAATCTTGGGAAAATGGACAATAGACATCCGATGTTAACCTGGTTGAGCAGGCATGCGGCATTTTGCCTTGGAAGATTCTCCATCAAAGATAATGGTAAGACTCCCTATCAAATGATGACTGGACGAAAATCGAATCGACCGATGGTGAGCTTTGGAGAGCGGATTTGGTTCCGCCCTCTAGATGCGTACAAAGTCGATGGAAGAAGGGTCATGAGTGGACACTACGTGGGAACACATGGCAGAAATGCAGATATCTTGGTAATGACAACGCAAGGCGTCATCCAAGGAAATACCGTCCATCGGAAACCTGAATCTGAACGATGGGATCGGTCAGAGCTGGAAGAATTCAAAGGCGTTCCCTGGGCGCTTCGCCCAAGGAGTGCTGAAGATTTGGAGCATCGGCTCCACATCACCTTGCCAGAGACAACACAGAGGTTGACTCCCACTGCGAGAGATGGAGGACCAAGTCAAGACAACTCTATGTGAGAAAGAAAGACCTTGAGAAGGAAGATGGAACGATGGACTATACACCAGGGCGCAGAGGATACGAGGCACTCATGGTTGGATTGCCTGCAGTTGCACACAACTCGACTTGTCGAGGAAGGTTGGAACAAAGGTTGGCCGAAACAGAGGAAGGAAGGAAGAGACTGGCTGATGTCGAAAAGAGGCTGGAAGAAGGAAAAGAGAAGAAAGCAAAGCAAGCAGTCATAGGACTGCCGGATCCCACAGAAGGAGAAGTAAGGTCGTCAGTGGCCTTAGGACAGCCTGAAGCCGAAGAAGGTGCGACTTCACCAAAGATAAGTTCGGAAGGTACTGAAGGTGAAAGGACCGCAAAGGCCAGAGAAAAGAGACTAGGAACATCCCTGGACGATCTGTACTATGATGAGATCGGCGATGTTGGGCCCCGGATTGTTTCAACTTGGGAACCGACAGGAACTCAAGCGGAACCTCCGGCTGCTTCAGCAAGAGGGGCTGCATCAAGTTCGTCAGCTGGTCCAGCAGCGGGTCCAGACCCATCAGACAGCACTACCGGAGAACTCGATGGAACACCAGCGGGTTACATTCCAGGAACAAACATCCAGTCGCTATGTCAGCTGACATGTGAATCATCAGAAGATGAATTGACAAAACAAGAGCTTTTAGCATTGGGAGCACATGAAGTCGCCGAAGTGTTTTCACCACTGGGAGTAACAGCAACGTACAAGAAGTATGAGTTACTGCCAGGATACGCGATCGATTTGGAAATAGGTTGGGACTTGACATCGTCAGATGACGCGAAGTCGATCCAAACAACTCTGCAAGAGGAAGATCCGTATCTAGTTACGGGAAGCCCACCTTGCGAAGCGTTTTCACCGTTACGAGCACTGGATGAGAGAAGAGTTGATCCCGAAACAAGAGCCTTAAGGTTGGAAGTAGGAAAAGACATACTCCAGACTACGTGCGACTTTCACGAACAGCAAATGAAAAGAGGAAGGTACTTCCTACACGAGCCTCTGAAGAATGCCAAGAGTTGGGACGAAAAGTGCATCAAAGAGATTGCAGAAAGAGACGACGTTTTCGTTGTTGAAGGCCCCATGTGCCGATGGGGAATGAAAGCAAAAGATGCAAGCGGAAAGTCCTACGTCAGGGAGATGACGGAGTGGATGACAAACGGTGAGGAATTGGCCATCGCATTGTGAGGAATTTGTGACAGCCAAAAGCCTGGGAAACCATGGCACAGACACGTTCACTTAGTGAACGGCACAGCCAAAATGACTCGGACCTATCCACCAGGATTAATCCGGGCAACCCTCAAGGCTTTTAAGAAACAGATGCAAAGAGATGGTGAATACCGTGATGTACATTCACTCGAAGCAGGACCAAGTCCAGAAGAAGACCCACATCTCGAAGACTACGAGGATTACTTTGTACTACCCAGTTTGGAAAAGAGCGCAGGACAAGAAGTCGGCGAAGACATGGTGTTCTACGACGACATCACAGGAGCACTACTCGACACCCAAGGAGTCCTAGATGCGAGAAGGATGAGTTAGCTTGGGTAAAGAAACAAGATGTCTACGAGAAAAGAACACTTGAAGAATGCTGGAGAATTACGGGCAAAGCTCCGATTACACTCAAATGGATAGATCGCAACAAGGGCGACCACGTAAAGAAGAACTACAGATCCAGACTTGTTGTCAGGGAAGTAAAGAAGCAACATGGATCACTACCAGGACATATGTTGTTCAACAACATGCCGCCACTTGAAGCTGTAAAGATCCTATGCTCGGAAC